TTGGTGATCATGATGATGGCAACGCTTGCGCTGCTGATTATGGGTACACACACCAAGAGTTGGAGAACACGTTGTACTGCGTGGAGACGGCTGATCCTGTCCAGATTCCAGTACAGACTCCTGTTCCCGATGGTACTCTTCCTGCATCAGTTGTTAGTAATTTATCCAGTTGTATTGATTGTAATCAGAAACCATTTCTTAAAGTTAAGATTAATGATAAGATTTTGAAAATGGAGTTAGATACTGGTTCATCTTTAAGCTGTATAAGTAAGTCTGATTTTGCTAGACTAGGACTAACTGATTGCCAGATTGTTCCATGTTCCCAGAAATTGCGAGTAGCTAATTTTAATTGTGAAAGCATTGACTGCAAGGCCCTTGTAAACGTTGAATTTAGAGGCAAGAAATGGATTTTACCACTATATGTTGTCGATTGTCGGTTTCCCACACTCCTAGGTCGAGAGTGGATCATCCAGATGTTTGGTAAAGACTGGTTGGATCATATGATAGGACTTGTTGATGTTGAGCAATCTTACGCTGTCTCCAAGCTTCAGAGAGATGAATTTGTTAGTGAGATACTCCGCAGTCCTGTGTTTGATCCTGGTGTTGGAACTGTTAAGGGATTCGAAGCTTGTCTACAATTTAAGCCTGATGCGAGAGCAAAGTTTTGCAAGGCAAGACAGGTCCCATTTGCCATTGTAGACAAGGTTGGGAAAGCCATAGACGAGTTAGTGAAGAATGGACAGCTGATTCCAACAGAGCACTCAGACTGGGCTTCACCCATAGTTCCTGTCATGAAAGCGGATGGTACGATTTGCATATGTGGTGACTACAAGACTACCGTAAATCCTAATCTTGACACAGCTATTTACCCACTTCCTACGATAGAAGATTGCTTGAGTAAGATTGTCGGAGGTAAACTGTTTACTAAGCTGGATATCAGAGCCGCTTATAATAGTTTGAAGTTGAGAGAATGTGACCAAAAGATTGTGACTTTGAACACACACAAAGGATTGTTCAGTCCTACTTCTCTACCATTCGGTATTTCATCTGCTGGACCGATATTTGAACGCAAGATTGATGATACCTTGAGAAAGACAGAGAACACGGCATGGCGTGTTGACGACATTCTAATAACTGGACCTGATGATGAGAGTCACATGAAGAACGTGAGAACGGTGATTACAGCACTAGAGAATGAAGGCTACAAATGCCGGCTAGACAAGTGTGTTTTCATGGAGCCTAAGGTTACATTTCTTGGCCATGAAGTATCTGCTGACGGGATAAGACCGCTGAGTTCGAAAGTTGAAACGATAGTGAGAGCACCGTATCCTACTACTAGAGCGGAGATGATATCATTTCTTGGTGGTGCACAGTACTATTCACGTTTTATTCCCAACATGTCAACAGTTGTTGAACCACTTAACCGTTTAAGACCCGCTGACAGTATTTTCCACTTTGGAGATAAAGAAAAGAGAGCTTTTGATGAGTTAAAAGCACTGTTATCGTCTGACTTGGTTCTAACAGTCTACAACCCGGAGCTGGAGTTAAAGCTTGACACGGACGCTTCATCCGTTGGTTTAGGAGCTGTTATGTCACATATTGATGAAAATGGGACAGAGCGACCGATCGAGTATATATTTCGAACTCTGACGAAATCTGAGAGAAACTATTCCATGATAGAAAAAGAAGCATTGGCAATAGTTTGGGCGACTAAGAGACTGCACCGTTATCTTTTTGGACGACCGTTTACCCTAGTTACAGACCACAAGCCGCTGGAATCTATCTTTCACCCTAGTCGTGGAATTCCTAGCATGGTGGCAGGTCGTTTACAACGATGGTCATTGTTCCTTAGCGGTTACACTTACAAGATCCAGTTTCGACCCACTGGTAAACATTGTAATGCTGATCTATGTTCCCGTTTTCCACTGCCTTTAGACACATCGGCAGAGACGAGAGAGTTTGATGACGAGTTAACAGAGGAGTTTGAAATGAAACCTCTAGATACTGTTTTCAGCGTGCACTACTTCGGTGATGACAAACCTTTGATTGACGCTGAGTTAATAGCTAGTCACACAAGAAGAGACAAGACACTTGGTCGAGTGTTACAGTTTGTTAAAGACGGCTGGAACGAGAAACCCCCTGTTGATGTCGAGCTGAAACCGTTTTACACACGTCGAAACGAGTTGTCAGTAGACCAGAACTGTATTGTCTGGGGATCTCGAGTTGTTATTCCAGAGAGTATGAGAAAGAGCGTGCTTTCAATGCTTCATGCAACACACATGGGCATTTCACAGACCAAAGCACTAGCGAGAGGCTATGTTTATTGGCCAAACATGGATACTGAGATCGAGAAAATGGTTAAACTATGTGAACCATGTCAACTAAACCAGAAGAAACCCGCTAGATCTACACCACACCCATGGGCTAAAACTATGGAGGCTTGGGAGCGGATTCATCTAGATTTCTGTGGACCCTTTCTTGGATCTATGTGGCTGATAGTTATCTGTTCGTATTCAAAATGGTTAGAAGTTGTTAGAATGACGAACATTACAAGTAAGAGAGTGATTCAAGAGTTACGAGACATCTTTAGCCGTTGGGGACTACCCAAGATACTAGTATCAGACAATGGATCGAGTTTAACTTCAGAAGAGTTTAAAGTATTCACGAATAATAACCAGATTCGACACGTGCTTATTCCTGCTTATTCACCTGCAAGTAATGGACAAGCAGAAGTTGCAGTCGGACTGTTTAAAAGAGCTATGAAACGGATGATCTTGAAAAACCCTAACGTTATGTGTAACCTGGCTGATTGGCTGCTAAACTACCGCAACACACCACACACCACTACCGGAGTAGAGCCTGCAGTTGCGATGATGAAACGACGGACGAGAAACGCCTTGAGTTTTCTACACCCGAGTTCGAGTAGTAAGTTTGCCAAAGTTGCTTTAAACGATCAGAACACGATTGCTGAATCGAGACTTCGTGATCTGAAGATTGATGACACTATATCGTTCTATGATGAGAACAAGAAGTGCTGGAGAAACGGTGTTATCAAGGGTAAGGAAGGTACCAAAGTGCTACTGATCAAGACACCTGATGGAGTCTACCGCAAGCATTTGGACCAGGTGATCAAGAGATCTGTTGTGTCAGAGCCGTTGCAACAAACAGATCCGGATACACCGAGAGTTGAGCTGGAGATAAGAGATGAGCAGAGTTCTACAGCTACTGAGGGTGATTTCGAGAAGACAGCTAGCTTACCTGAGAGTACAGAGCCGGAAACTTCGATTATAGTTGGTAATAATCCAAATCTACCCGCCGAGCCTGACCATAAGGCAGCCATTGAACCTATAATCACTGCACAACCTGTACTTAAACCACGTGAGCTTGCCATAGAAATTAACCGTAGCACTATGAAACCTAGTATTGTTAGAGAGCATGAATTGCAAGAACCCAATTTGCTTCTGCCAGCAAACTTTGCACGTGATAGTAAACCACCAGACAGGCTAAGTTACCGCAAACTGGGAGGAACATAAAACACGTTTCATTATCACATTTTATGACAATTGTTTTATTTTGAATGTGTAAATCTAACCACACATTAATCCAGTTAAATTATCCAGATCAAACGTAAAGTTATAAATATTCCCTGTCACGTTTATGTTTTGAAGAGAAACACGTTATTTTTTGTTTTAAACGGAATGCGCTAAGTTTTAAATCGTGTAGCGAGCGCAAAACGTTTCAACATTTTCACGTGAGTTCACTTAACAATTTTGTAGATTTCATTTTGACCACGTTTTCAAACATTTTAAATTTTGTACGATTGATTTATATCACATTTTTTTACGAATTCAGTTAAATTATTAAATCTATATTGTTTTTAACACTTTTTAGTTGAACGGGATGTTATATATTCTAGTAATTTATTGTATGATTAACCGATATACTATTCAGGATGACTACCTGGGTTTTGGTTTTGGTTTAGCTTTTAGCTTTTAGTCTTGCGTTTACCTTGTCACAACGATTCATAACACAAACATAGCTTTAAACATATGTGGAGATACACAGTGGGCTGCGCGGGGGGGTCATGCTAGCATAGGCATGTTAGGAGATATATTTTAAGCTGATGGGTTGTTCTTAGGGGTTGTTTGGCCCAAAAAAACGTTTTAAGCAAGTCTCAAAGCTTTAGGGGCATCACAGAGTGAGTAATGGACAGTTTTTAAAATTTTCAGATTTTTCAGATTTTATACGCGCGAGATTATTTTCGAAAAATGACGAGTCAGTTGGCTATTAACAGCCTTCAAAGTGTTTTTATGGGTTTGGGGTCCAAGGGAATCCTTTAAGACAAATTTTAGAAGTATTAGAGTCTAACAAATTGGGCTTTACAGGATTATTTTGGCTTCCTGATGCAGCTTGCGCTGAAGTGTATTTTGATGAAATTTAAAGAAAAAATCATAACAGACTCTAAACACAGGGATATTTTCTAATTTGTTCTTTATTCATTCAAAGTGGAATCTTTGCATCCAATAATCTAATCTGGGCTGGCCACCCACAAATCTGAGTGGCCAGTCCTTCAGTAGAGTGGTAGAAGAGGGCATTTGTCCAATGATTCATTGACCAGCAATCACTTTCACCGGTGAACTCATTGCAATACTGTAAAATGAAACTTTGAAAATAGGAAATTGTAGTATACACTGTACAGTTTAATTTATATTGTAATTCATTGTTTCATCTTCAAACTCAAGTATTCATAGTAAATTTACTCAGTAGATCCACTGAAAAATTGTTGATATTTACTGTACTCACTTGTACACGATTCAATCATTTGATTCTTTCATCCTGACAATTCATTTCAACCCTAAATCATTCATCATGATCATATCATATCATATTACATCCACCACAGGTTATCATGTCTGTTAAGACCATCACTTTGGCTGATGCATATCAAATTTTCATCCAATCAAAACCATTTAAAACAGCTCGACCATCGTTACAGATGTATTCGTCAGCTGTCAACAAGCGTTTCTGTGCAGTTTTCCCTCATGACCTTCACAAAAGCAAGTGGCTGAAATTGAAGAGAGTTCAGGAGAAGAAAAGGCATTGTTCTAATACTGAAAAAAGTCGAGTCTCGCGAGACTCGCTGCTAGATATTGAGGATGAAGCTGACTTCTACACTGTCGACATGTCAACAAAGGAGCTGTTTGTTGAGCTTAGTGATGATGAAGGCGATGAAGCTGAAGAATCACCAGCACCCAAGAAATGTAGACTGCACATCCTCAAGTTGTCTAAGTCCCAGCAGCACCGGCGGCTGGACTCACAGTACAGCAACATACAAGAAACTGCTAAGTTAGAAGATATAACAGTCATCCAGTTGTTAGGAATGCACTTGTTTCGTGCTTCTTATTCCAAAAACAAAGAGGTAGCTGACTTTGCAGAGCGCCTGATCACCGGTCAGCCCCTTCACATTGTCAAGGAAATTAGTGTTCCCTCAGCTTCCTTACTTCTCTCTACACTTGAAATAGGAAAATCGTCTTACAAAAAGCTGAGAGGGATTTTGAAGAGTGAAGTGGGTGATCATGTTGTACCGTGTTATGATGCAGTTGCTTCTCATAACACTAAAATAACTCCTAATGCTGAGCCTCTGTCCCCTCCCTACTCTGGAGTGAAGTACCCACTAATCCCAGCAATTACGATGACGTGTCAGAGACAACTGAGTACACTGGCATTGGACTTTAGCCAAGACAAACTAGCTGAGGTCACGTTTAAGGCAGGCTTTGACGGTAGTGGGGGACATTCTATATTTAATCAGAAGGGCTCTGCGGCTACGAATAATATCATCATGGCCATGATATGTCCCATTTCAATCCGCTATGGAGGTGATAATGTGTGGACTCAACCTTATCCTCAGTCACAGAATACTCACAGGTTTGTTTGTCTATTATATTGTTTTGTTACAATGAGAGTCACAATGAATGAATCGATACCAAATATATCTTAAATGTGTATTTGATATATTTCAATTAATAAGTTAATATAATTTCATGTAAGTTTATTCACCTAGACCGATCATCCTGCAACTTGGCAAGGAGACCATCGAGGCGTTAAAGATATATGGACCTGTGACACGTGAGATGGGAGAACTAGAGCAGGAGAGATTTGTTGTTTGTGTACATGACAATAATGTGAGGGTTAGTGTCATTATCAGGTTGACTGCCATGGACAGAAAAGCAGTGGATGCAGTCACGGGTTTGGGAGGAGCGTATTGCGATCTGTGTTTCTTTTCTGCTGACGAATCACATGAGTGCAATAAAGTTGATGAGTTCAGCAAACAGCGGAGTTTTGAGGAAACAAATGAACTAGCAGCAAGTCTTGCTGATGAGTTTGGAGTAATTGTTCCAAAAAGAGGTGATTACGATGTAAGGAAGGGCATGGTGCGACCCCCCACTGTAGAAAAAGAAGTGGAGTCAATCCAATGCCTGCACATGTTGCTGCGTACTATTGACTGGGTGCTAAAACTCACGTACCACCAAATAGCATGTGTAGATCATTGGTCTGAGAGTGTGAATATGAGGGACCTGCAATTTATCAAGCAGGCCAAAAAACAGGTTCAGGAACACATGCTCGAGCAGACTGGCCTTAAAATTGCATTTCCAGACAGTACTGGGAATGGAGGAACGACCACAACTGGGAACGTGGCAAGACGACTTCTCTTTGACACCTCAACCAGAGAAATCCTTCTTCAACTGGTTCCTGAGAGGAAACGTGGCCCTCTGAGAGAGGTTATGAAGAGGCTAGCAGTGGTGTTACGGGTAATAAGTTCCACACGGAGACTTAGTGCACAGAAAGCTGAGGACTTGGAAAGTTTCTGTAAAGAAACTTACAAACTGATACTGATAACGTTTCCCTCACCAGTAGCTCGACTTTCACCCTCAGTACACAAACTATTGGCTCATTCCTGGGAACTTGTCAAGCTGAATGAAAACCAGGCTCTTGGTAACGTGTCTGAGGGTGGAATCGAAGCCTGTAACAAGTTACTGCGGCGTTACAGGATCAGACTCTCACGTAAGCGGAGTCAACACGACAACTTGTTCGACTGTGCCAAGAGACTTTGGGTGAATAGTGATCCTGTCATTCAAGAAATGCGGTTGGCAACACTGCCTTACTGTAAACACTGTGATATGAGAGGTCACAGCAGAAGGTGGTGTCCTGCGAGAGTCCAGTGCGCGCTTCAGAGCGAAGACACAGCAGTTGATAATTTCTTCAGTTAATTAGTTAATTTGTCAATTTGATCTGTATTTTATCATATTTAACGTTTATTCGTTGTTCAGACTTCATTATGTAATTGATTATTTATTCCTCATGAACGTAAACATTACCTTACTATTACTCAGTTGTTTTCTTAAAAAAATGAAAAATATTTGTCAAAATGGGCCAAAATTAGCTAAAATTGTCTCCATATCCAGAATTTTCAAAAAATCGAATCACCAAGTGCCCAAAAGTTCCCAAAGTGATTCTTATTGCATCTGATAGGGAATTGTCTAAGCTTTCTGATGATACCATGCATTATACCGAACTATTGCAAACCAACAACGATTTCTGTCATTAAATACCCCAAAAATTGCCTAAAATACACGCCATAAAAAAGGCGCGGTCAAAAATCAGGTGAAAATGTTAAAGTCACACAGTTTTTTTAGATGTCTGAGTATTCTGAAGTACTATACTGTATTTCAATTATTAAAAACTGCCTTGATCAGGCATTTTAGCCCAAAATAATAAATATTAGGCAATTTTTGGCTAAAAAAGGCAAAATTTCTTGACAGTGAAAAATGCTATTTTTTCACGCGACGCCATTTTGGCATCTTGCAAAGTTTTTAATTACGGTTTTTTGCATGAAATCGGGCTAGCGTTTTACAATAAGGAAAGCTTATTTTCAAAGAAATTTAAGAAAGTCGATTTTAGGCCTATGCTAGCATGGTAGCCCACTGTGAGATAATTTCTAGACTGTATATGCAATCATTGATCATACCTCGTTAGTGAACTTATAATATAAAAGTGGAAATAAACTGACAGTTTTTACCCCTGAATACTCTGGTATCTAATAAAGTGTGTCTAATCAGAACAATTCAAGTATAACAGTTGTATTTAAGAACATTCCTGGCAATTTTATAGTTCCTGTCCTGTGTGAGTATGTTGGTGTTGGACAAGACTTGATTTAATAGAGCAAGCACATTCCTTACACTTGTAGGGTTTCTCTCTCATGTGAGTCCTCATGTGCGCTGTAAGCAGACTTTTTTGAGCACAAAAATATGAACTATGACTGCCCCACAGCCAGAAACTATTGCAAATTGGCAGATAATCTGCAAGGAAATTATTGATTTCAGAGGAAATTTTTGGTGCCAAAGAGGAAATTTTTTAAGTTTATGTCTATGATCTCAATTTGAAAAATTTTGATGCAAAGTTTTTTGTTGGTGAAGAGGAAATTTTCTAAAAATAATTTAAAATTGTTGACAAATGAAAGAGGAAAAAACTAACAGTTCTTTGAATCGTTTTTGAAACTGTGTTTGAAAATGAACCTTATTGCCAAATTGCTTCTAGGCCTTCTGTGTGAGAATTTTTGCCCCTGGCAAACATATCTTCAATTCCTGTCTGTGCGAAAGTTTAAGTTGTATGCACTCTACATTTCATATTCATTTGGGGAATATTTTGACTTGATATAACGACGTCATCGTAATGACACAAGTGACTGATCAACCACCTTATTTGATAGTGTTTTTCAATTAAACAAATAATCAATTAAACAAATAATCAATTAAACAAATAATCAAAGTTTTAGCACATTTTACAGCATAAAATTTAAACAAATGAAAACATATAATGCTCTTAGTGGTACATGGCCGTTTGTTCTGAGCTGTATGATTTTTTGACAATCAACTAGCGGGGCAAGGAATGTACTGGCTGGTAGCTTTTGTACACACCAGAACGCTAGTCTGGTTGATTAGTGACCAATTTAGAGGCGTTGATAGGAAGGCATTATAATTTGTGGGTGTAAGAGAGAATATTTGGCATGCATTATTCTAGCAGCTATTTTGTAACAAATGGTCTTTACGATTATTAAGGACGGTAAGTATTTTGGGTGTTCAATACTAAATCATGGCTAAATGTCTAAGTGGGGGCCGGGGGTTTAAATTTAAGGGAGAAAAAGAAATGAATATCGGGTTATAATATTAATCATCTAGTCAACCCTGATATAACTATTGTACTAAAAATTTGATCATAATGCTTAGGCTCTTTATTAGAATTCAAATTGGATACAAAAATAGGATCTCTTTACACTACACTTTAAAATAAAGTATTTTATATATATATTTTTAACTGGGGTGTTGTAAATATTTTTTTGGGATTTTAATTTTTTATTTCAGATCTATCATACTATTTGTTACTAAAATGCTCATTGTAGCCTATAATATTTAGATTTTCATCATCATACATTTCTGAGGATATGGTTGCCTCTACTCTGCAAGGCACATAATAATTTGTGATAACTACGACAGCTGGCCAGTGGCCATGTTTTACTTGTGGGTTGTAGGAGAAAGGCATTTTGTATCACACTATTTTGAAGGGCTTCAGATATTTGTAGTTTTTAATGTGGCTAAGCAAAAACTGCAAAAAAATTTGTGGGGCCTAGCTCCAAATGCTTAGAAATTGTCGTGCTTCACTTGCCGACATTGCGAAAGTGGAAAAACAGAAAACTCGATCTGCGAAGAAATTTGTAACTTTCTGGATGTGGGATTACCGCACTAGTAGGGTTTCTCTCCTATGTGAGTATGTTGGTGTTTATTAAGACTCGATTTATCAGAGCAAGTATATATAAACATTCCTTACACTAGTAAGGTTTCTATCCAGTGTGAGTACGCTGGTGTCTGATACAACTTTAGAATTAGAATTAGAACTTGATTTATCAGAGCAAGTTTATGAACATTCCTTACACTTGTAATTGTAGGGCTTTTCTCCCGTGTGAGTCCTCATGTGCGTTGTGAGCGGACCTTTCTGAGCACTAGAATACGAACATTGACTGCACTTGTAGGGTTTCTCCCCTTCGGAAACTTGATTCACCAAAACTATCAATCAACAATTTCATCAAAACTATTGAACATGGTGAGAAATGTACATTGAAACTGGTAACATTTAGTGAACATGATGAAAAAATGTATATATCATATATCAAAACTGGTAATTTTTATGTTTTAGTGGACACTGAACATGGTGAAAAATCTAATTGCCACCAAATATCAAGACCAAGACCGTCGAGTCCGACTCGGCGCCTGTCTTGGTAGGTTATTAACCTACAAGGAAACCCCTTCCCCCTCGACTAATTACGTAAGTAAGTAAGTAAGTATGGATTATGACATAACATCATCAAAACACTAAAGTGTCTACAAAATATCATTGCACTGAATAGAAAAATAATTTAAATAAATATATTTTTCCATCAACATTAATACTTCATCAAATTCAATTTTATTAATTACGGGTAAACCGCCCCTAAAACATTACCTGTTTTTTGGGCCCAGATTGCCGAGTTAGGGCTAAATTTACAGGGTTCTGAAGTGTCTAGGAATAATATTTAAACCTTTTTCTAGCCTGCCAGGAAGATTTGGAGATTTGAAAATAAAATCAGGTACAACTTTTTTGACGTTGAAATGGAGTCACTTTTAAAACACCACCCCTAAAATGTCAACTCTATATACATGTGATAATTACAAAATGTACAGGAGGCCTGATTTATCTTTTGTCACTAGTACTATTTGTTTTGTCTTATTAAAACATTAAGCTACTTGAAAACATTCACTCACTAAAGGAAGTACCTCAAAACCGTAATCACCCCCTAAAATGTCACGTGCACCACCCCTAAAACGTCAGCTAAAACAGGTTGTGTAGCACTCAGAATGTTGCTCAATTATTAATTTTAATCACTTCTGGGACAAAAATAACCTATTTCTGAGAGGTGTCGACCAGAATTTCTCTCTCTGTTGAAAAAAAAATGGTGGAATTTAGTCAATTTACTTTTTGTGACATTTTGGGGACTTTTTTTTGAATACCCAGAACTTACGGAAAAACAGTAACTCAGTCAACAAAATTTACACCTGTAGTTAGATTATCTAGTTATAAACTAACAATTGGCACAAAAGAAATGGATTCAATGTGATTTTAACCTAGTGCAAATTGCATGTTTTAATTGCATTTTTTGGGATTTTTAACATCATCCTGCATTTTGGCAATTTTAGTGACCTGTTATTATTATTATTATTAAATCTAAAATAGCTAATAATTTAATAAATTATTAACAGGCCCCTTAACGTGGGCAATAATATACGCTTTATAAATTATATAAACAAATTGCAGTCTATTTTTCCAATGTTGTTAAGTGTCTCTTTAGATCTGTTTTGGTGTTTTGTGGGAGTTCCCACATTTGTTGGTTGAGAATGCTCAACATAACATACATGATGCTTGACTGCTTTATTGACCCGGACAGGCACCGGGGGCAGACATCCCAACACCAGTGCGTTGGGACATAGTGTTGGGCATTATATTTTATGAATTGTTTTACATCTTTTTATTCTGTAAAATGTGCTAAAATTAAATTTCTTGTTTCATTGAATTTCTTGTTTCATTGTTGGTCTGCTTCAGGACGTGTTAGATCCTAGAGAAGCCGCCATCCCCTCTACTGCTTTAGCTCAGCGGCAGCATGAGCCCTGGTTTCCTGCCACATTGGTACCTCTGAAAGTACAGAAAAGTGGTGGATTTCGGGGTCCAGGATCCTCCCTCTTTAATCTTTACGGTGGTGTTATTTCTCTGAGATGTTTGCAGAGTCTTTATTCTATGATCTTTCTAGTTTTTTAAGCAATAATGTATTGCGAGCAGCTGTAACTTAAATATCGCATAAAAATCATATAATTATAACACAAAACTAAAATTTTATTGGAATCTAGGTTAAACTAAGATAAAATTAATATCAGCCCCTTCGCCACTCTCAGCAGTCAACCAGGGCTCATAAAAGCTTAACAGCGCCTGGGTCCGTTCACCAACTGTGCTAATGTGAGTGGCGGTGTGGTAAAACCCATTTTAACAGCGTGAATATTTATCAAATATAAGCACGCTAGCTGCTAGCATACTTGTATCATTTAATTTTTAATCAAATTTATTCGGATATATATTTATTGATTATGTATTGAATTGGTGATAAATAATAAAATTGTCTTTTCTCAAAAAAAATTGTCTTTTCTCAGTTTAGTTGGATAAATCCTGGAGAGCATCATTTTGACCCCAAAGAAATTCGACTCTTCTAATGAATGCTTTTTGTGTGCTGCTTTTTGTTAACACTTCAT